AATCCTACAAATATTTGATTACACATTGTGTCATTTATTTAGATTAAGACTGCAGCTTGACTGAGTTGTAGCTCACAGAGACAAAGTCAGTTCCACATACAGCATGCATTTAATAAAAGTCATATTTGTGTAGGTGTTAGCGAGGCACAGCTTAGTCAAGATAAACTGAGGTCTTAATACATTCTCAAACTAAAGGTGCTGGTTCTGGATCAGGTTTTTGCATATGATTGTGCAGACGTGCCTAAGGGCAATGAACTTTAGGCAAGACACTACAGATGAACAGGCAAGACACTGTAACTAATAGATACACCATACTTTTCCCTGTTGATTAATCCATCAAGACGATGAGGTGCAGTAACATACCTGTAACTGCTGTATTTGTGTATAGGTCCAGTCCAGTTCAATCTGGTTATAGCGTTTATGTAGGCGATACATAAGGGCAGGTTCAGAGACAGGATGGACAGCGAAGGCGTTCTTAAACTGTGCACTGTCCTCACGCTCAGGGTCCACGTTCTTCTGCAGCTCAAAGTAACGGTATGTCATCTCCTACATGATTTTAAAAGATCACAACAACACTAATCATAATTCAGGTTAAAACAGATTCTCTCTCTTTGTGTGCTTTTGTTTTGGTCTGTAATTATAAACATAAACAAGCAACTGAAAATGACAAAGCACATTTCAGGAGAAAATGACACTGGGTTACTTAGACAAGGCTCAAACCACCAGTTTTAGTAAATAGGTTTTAGCTTTTCATTTACATCCTATTAAAAAAAAAAAACATTTCCCCACCTGATGCTTCTCCACACAGCTGAGACCCAGGTAATCGATGATGCAGCGACCAAGCCACTCGTCTGGCCTGACACTGAGGATATCATTTCGACAAGAGTTCAGGTGGGGCTGCAGTCGGGCTAGTAGGCTACGTGACAGCAGATACCCATATCCACCATGGCAATATCGGGCACGTTCTTCACCCCCGATAAACTCCTCTGCCCGTCCCATGTACATATCCTGTCCCGCACTAAGATGATTAACCAGCTCCACGACCCTTTCAGCTTGTGTGTATGTATCATCTTGTGCAAGGTAAAACCAGTCATACTCATTGCCGTGGTGTTGGTGGAGGTGCCGTATAGTTTCATACATAAGCCAGACGGGTCGGTCATCACCATGAGCAACAACAGCCATGCCATGCGGTGCCTTTGTGCTTCGAAGGCCAGTGAAAAAGAAGGTACGGTGGAAATGGTGGGCTACCGTTTTATTGACAGCCACCCCTAGTGTGTTGAGAGTGGCACGTGAGCTCAGGATACCCACCAGAAGGCGTTCTCGGATGCCCAGTTCTGTGTGGATGTAACGTGTCCTGTGGCAAAAAAACAAAAAGTAGAACATTTACCAGTATTTAACAGTTTAATTTAAGGGGATAAAGATCCAATTCAATTAAAAAGCTGAGTGAGACAAATGAGGGAGAACTACTATGATCTCTAAAGCAAACAGCTTCAGTGACCCTTAACCTCTGCTCTGGCACCCTAGTTTTGTCAACATAATTATTAATAAAATTGTATTTGTTATTGGTAAATTGAGGACAATGAAAATGGCAGAGTGTGCTCAACTCAAAAGATTTATTAAAACAGTCACTAATAGAAGTCAAAACATGACATGTAAAAGTTAAGACAATTGTGGAGATCAGCTGATATCATTTTTCTCACAACATGATTTTTGTTTACATGCCCAATAACCAATATATTTTTGTAATGCATTATATTTCATTATTAATAATGCCCTTCTCTTTATGCAAAGTTGTTTTGTAATCTAAATTGATGCCAATATTTTTTTAGCTGTTAAGCCTAAAATGATGAATAAACAGGCACTTTCTTATTTTTTAATCTTATTTAATTTACATAAAGATGCAACACAAACGGTTACTGATGTTTTAGTCCCAGTTGACAGAAGTGAGACTAAGAATTCCAAACATCTTTTTAAGTTTAACCGTTCATCATCTAAACCTCCCTTGGGGTACTGGCATGGCTGAACTGCATATGCAGCCGTGGGTGTTTTTATGAGAGGAATAATAAGAGATTCTATGTCTGTGGCTTCACAAAGTGGTGAAGAACTCAGCTGTAAGAAAAGCACAGGTGAGGCGAGGTGAAAAATACTCGACAGAGACCTTACTACTTACTGCCAAGTCAAACAAACCCCCCTCTCTAGTCACATTTCTATACCGACTACTGATACCAACATGATCCAAAGGTCATAGCTGATTTAATATCATTTTAAATACTTTTAAATCTACATAGCTCATTGCAATTTTATATGATGGCCTTCTTGTCTAAGTTTTTGAATAACTTGAATAACAACTAGCTAAAAGAACCATTTCTAACTGAGATTTCGGTCCTTTCATATAGGAAATGAAGCCAAACTGAACTGATATGCAGGGACTCACCTGAGGACTTTCTTGTGTGGTTTGTTGGGGTCCTTGTGATAGGGCACAACGCGAGGCTGGAAGTCCTCATTCCCATCTTGACCATCCTGGACATCCCTGATATGACCACTGTGTAGGAGTCTCCCATTGCCCAGCTCATCTCCACAAGCCTCATCGGTCTCCCCCTGCGTCCAGGACACCATCAGGAGGCTGAGGCTGCAGCCCAAAGAGAGGCCCAGGATGAGGGGCAGAGCAGGCCGGAAAACAGCCAGGAAAGAAGACAGGCGCATGGTCGAGCAGGGGCTCTGCAAGCCAGTCAATGGATGTCAAGTCTCGATAGGTCTCCTTAGAGAGCAGTTCAAGTAACAGCACAGTCTCGTTTACAGTGGATTACAGTAGAGGCATTTGACAGGGATTCTGTAAAGGTTAATATTTAAATTCCTGATACCATGCGTGCTCGTGTCTAATCATAACATGAGTAGTTAAGTCAGCGTTGATGTCTTCACAATCTGATTAACGGACGACGATGTCAAGTTCAGCAGCGAAAAGCCAAAACAAAAGGAAGAGCAACAGCAAACTGACCTGCCTCTTCACAGTCAGATGACTAACATCGGGACATATGGGTCTGATTTAACATCAAAACATGCAAAACCGACACACTACCACCCTCCATATAAATTAGTCCACTTTGATCTAGCCAGACATCCTCCTGCACGCAATATGCGCGAGCTGCATGCACGAACACATTATTTGATAATTACATTTACATTACTAGATGAGAAATCACCTCCCCTGGTGCACTTTCATGCACAGTTGACCTGAAATATTATAAAGTTCAGGATATCAGGGTGTAATATCCATTTTGTGGTCCGAAACAACTGATGATAAATTACATTCAATAAAAAGTCCTCCACTTTCTCGCGTAGCTTCGTAAGTTAGCTGTTTTGCTTGCACAGAGGCTGAGCAACATTAGCAGCCACCAGCGATATTTCCCCCAAAACACACTAATCCGCAGAGTGCGCTCACTTTGGATGAATTCCTGCGTCTCTTCCGAGGATCCGTTGAAAAATACAAAAACAATCGCGAAATGACTTTCTTGGCTTTGCTGTGAATGTCTCCAGCATCGTCGGTCACGTATCAATTCTTCCTACGGATGTGCTCAAGAGGAAGATTGACTCAATGCGTTAAAACAGACCCAAGGAAACAAGCAGCACTCGCACAAGAGTTCCACGTACACAAGAGTCCCGCTGCACGGATCTGCAAGAGCTGGCTGGCGCTCTCTCTGGCAGCGTGAACGAGGAGCTCCAGATTCAGGCCATCAAATGTCAAATAAGTGATTACAGCGAGGGGGCAGTGAGTGATATAAAAGAATAGCTACAAAATAAATCAAAAGGAAAAATAATAATAATAACAACAAAATAACTGCACAACAATTAGCTCTCAAATCTGATTTGTGTCAAAAAGTATCTATTCAAAAACATTCTTAAGGAAAAGTAAAATAGCACATTTAATAGTATTTATTTAAAAGTAAAGAATAAAAAAAATCTTAGCTTTAGAAATTATGAAATTTGAAGTAGATTTTCTCGGTGACCTTTTCAAGGACTCTGTCCTGACTCCTGACTGTAAGACTCTAGGACAACAGATGGTAGACTGACACCAATATCTTGTTACCAGAAATCTTATAGCTGTTTGGCATTTGAGTATTGCTTTAAGGATGGCCAAATGACTGTGTTTACTTCTGAATCAAGTTCATCTGCCTTTAGCAATGATCAAATTGCATTAGGTAAAAGACTTTGGTGTGGGCAATAATGAGACAGCTCTCTTCACAAAGATGAATGAGATACAATAAAACACAAACAGAAAAACTTGAAGTCATGATGCAATGCAGAATATCTTCTTTGATGTAATACGTATATACAATAATATATTATTAGGTATTTTATTGTCTGCTTTTTAGGCCAATGCCTGAGTTTCAAAAGGTCTCAAGTAAAATACAGATTCAGTTCTACTTAAAGGGGATAGTTTTAATTCCCTCATCATTTATTCAAAATATATAATTAAACTGAATGGTGAATGAGACTGTCATTTTGGCTTACATCTCATTTTTGTTTCACAAGATGGTGATTAAAAGTTGACGAAATATTTATTTTGGGGTCAACATATCGAGTATTGTAATTCTCATACATCCCTGCATGCACATGAACCCCTTTATTATGTTATTTTATTCTTATATTGCAATGTTTGGTAGTACATATTGTTCAGTTTTAACAAATCAAATGCCATTGTCCACAGTAGGCTACTGCTGTTTGCTGTGTTATTGTATATTTATCAATTAAGACTAGCACGTACTACCACTGCCATATACTCCTAGTAAAAACCTTATCTTTTAACCTTATCTAACCTTATCTCAGTGCTACTTTGACACTGTTGCCGCGGGTTGTTTTTCATGTCCGCGGGTGGAAGCGACTCCAATAACATGATATTTATCCCCTGGAATGCGATTTTTAGCAGGGAAACCCCGCGAAACGCATTTGGGCTAGTTTTGAGCAGCTATTGGGCGGGTTTTCTTGTAAAAACCTGGCAACCCTGGTGTGCGCGAGCCGCCGCCTGCCGGGCGCGTGTCAGAGAGCTGCGCGTGCGCGCTTTGCTCCTCTCAGAAAGGTACGGCTAGCCAGCAGCTGTTTTACTTTGTTTCCGCTTGTCGGTGTTTCCTTGAAACTTCCATTACGTTTACATTGTGTATGAGACATAAATATACTGCAAGTGAGGTAATATCCGGCTTGTACAGTTTGTATCTTAGCTCAACGCAAGGCCCTGAACGCCTCATGCTGTCATTTCAATCTGTCACCGATGTCAGGTGTAACTTAACCCTGATACAAATTAAACCATTCACGACTGTAAATTTATATCTTTTATACATATACAAAACGGTAAACCCTTCAACTCCAAAATAGAGATGTCAGTAAAGCGCTATAGTTAGCTAGCAAGGCCCTATGCCGGTGTTCTGTCATAAGAGATATATGAGTTTATTTTGGGGTTATTACAAATGTGAGGGTGTTCGTTTCATAGACATAATAAATACCTAGACGCCTCTTGGCCGCTTTGAGCCGTTGCTGCGATACGTCAACGCGTCCTCCATGTTTGTGAAGGCAAGACTGCCTTAAAGGGGTCATATGATGCGATTTCAAGTTTTCCTTTCTCTTTGGAGCGTTACAAGCTGATTGTGCATAGATAAGATCCCTGAAGTTGCAAAGACTAAAGTCTCAAAACCAAAGAGATATTCTTTATCAAAGTTAAGACTCTGCCACGCCCCCCTAAAACGGCTCATTCTAACACGCCCGAAAAACACAGCGGCCTAGCTTGAGCGAAAGCCCCGGCTTAGCGTGAACTGAGGCCGGGCAAGAGTGAGCTGAGGCGGCGGGGTCGAGAACGGCACGCCCGGCGGATGCGATGAATGAGCGGCAACCACATGTGACGGACCCTGGGCTGGATTCCGCTTCGTCCATGGTGAAAGTTGATGTATTCCCTCTGCGACCAGCACAGATCAGCTCTAGGCATGACGTAGCGGATATCGTCCTCTTTTGGAAGGCCAAACAAAGTACTTTTTCTTTCGCAGCAAACCACACAGTGTCTCCATGACATGGCGGCGTTTTATATGGTTTAATACTACAGCGAGAATAAAAGTTACGTCTTCTTTCTTTGCGTGAACATTTGGGCGGTGTTATGCAAATCTTCCCACATAGTGGGGTAGATATGTGGGGGCGTGTTCGAACGAGCCGTTTTAGGTAGGTGTGGCTAACTCTTAACTTTTATAAAGAATATCTCTTTGGATTTGAGACTTTAGTCTTTGCAACTTTACAGATCTTCTTTATGCACCAAGAGCTTGTAACACTCTAAAGAGAAAGGAAAAAATGAAATCGCATCATATGACCCCTTTAAAACTGCTGCTGCTGTCTTGGATGAATAGCGGTGTGACAAAGTCGAGCTGCAGTGACACGTTCTTCACATGAAAGTTACATGATTCATTTTCATACACTGCCACAGTTTAAGATCATATCAACCTCTCAAAAAACACTCAGAGGTCGAGATTGTCATCAACTAAAAATGGTTACCTAAGCCATTGGGAACTGTATGTGGGTATGAAATGTACCCCAAAACAGCAGCTATGGATGTTTTTCAAAGCGAGCAGTATTTGACCGGTTAATGCAATGCACAGAGTAATGGAAAAACTTACAGATTCCTATGAAGAATGTCCTTCTGTGATTTCACAAACCATTGCTTAATAGGATCTTAGCTGTTGATTTAGGTCCAATAAAGTGAGGTCAACTTAATGACACATTTATCTGTGTATAGTGGAACAGTAATTTATGAGTTCATGAGAGTATGAAAATATTATCATGTTAGATGTGGCATCACATTTTGAACAACCGATTACTGTACTCCACAGCCATGCCGTCAGATCTTGCTAAGAAGAAGGCTGCAAAGAAGAAAGAGGCTGCCAAAGCTCAACAGGATGTGAAAAAGCATGATGACGTGAACGGAGAAGGAGAGCTTCATGATGGCCAAGTGAATGGTGCAGTAACTAATGGGGAGACAAATGAAGGTGTGTGTGTTTATTAAAATGGTGCCAAAAGTTAGATGGAAAAAGATGTTTAGACCAGCGAGTATTCACCGACCCCGTGCATGTTAGATGTTCACACTCATAAGGCAGAGTCAGACACATAGCTATTCTGTAGCTATAATTTATTTTCTATGTCACAATTTCACTTTTCACCTTAGATATTGATGCTCTGACTAAGGAGCTGGATGAGTTTGAGATGCATAAGATGGAGGCACGGGCAGTGACAGGCGTCTTGGCCTCCCACCCCAACAGCACTGATGTTCACATCAGCAGTCTGTCACTCACCTTTCATGGCCAAGAGTTACTGAGCGACACAAGCCTGGAGCTCAACTCCGGCCGGCGCTACGGTCTCATTGGCCTCAATGGCACAGGTATGGAAGTCAAGTGACATTGCGATGTCATTATACTTCCATTGCTTCTCAAGCTTCATCAAGATTTGTACGTAGACCTGAGTCTAAAAGTTCATATGATTGGCACCATAGCTGGGGAAGCTCATGCTGCAGTGGTATTTACAGTAACCTATTAATTAACATAAGAGACTTGTGAACAAATATAACCAATTTTCAGAAAATTTGGGACATTTTGTAAAGTGCCATAAAAACTAGAATCTGTAATTTGTTAATTCTGTTTATGCCATGGTCTGTCTGAATACTCGATTCTGATTGGCTGGCAGGTGTTGATTAAATTTGTTTAACTGCACAGGTAGTTCCAGGTCAGTTTAATCACGTTCTATATTAATGCGCTTCCTATAAACATTGGTAACCATAGTAACATACAGTTACAGTTGAATAGTAATACAGCGTGAGACAGTAAAGTAAACATTTCCGATTTACTTAGCTAGGCTAAATGGATGATTTTCGCGTGTCATTTAGCTTATACGGTCATTATGGCAATTTTGATAAATGGGCAGAGGCACAAGATGAACTGGACGAACTGGAAACCGCGAACAAAGCGTTGTCACTTTAATTCGGCGCGTGCAGCACAGCAAAAATAGACTCGGTGCGAAAACGATCGCTGCACTGCTGCAGACGCACCGCACCTGGAACGCACTGACGGACCGCAACCGCGTGCAGTGTGAAAGCTCTAATCCGTTAACATGGGTGCGTTAAAAAAAACGCGCTTCTGAACTTAATGAGACATTGCGAGAATTTTATGCCTCGATCAGACGACTACCGGCCGCGAATACAGTGTTGCAAGCCTGAAGTGTATCAGAGCGGGTATTAACCGTTACATCACAAAACACAACATCATAAATGATAAAGACTTTAAATCAAGCAATGCCGTCTTTAAATCAATTATAAAGCGCTACAGGAAAAATGGAAAAGACACCAGCGTTCATCACCCTCGTATCACTGAGTCCGACCTGGAGAAAATTAAAAATTCACCTGCGCTCTCCCCATTCACACCCATCGG